CACTTAAATATTTAAATTATTTTATTTTTAAACTTGGATTACTTTGCTAACCTTTAAAATCTTGGTGTGGATTTCCTAGTTACCTTATAACTATTTTACTTGATTCTTCTTTTAATGTATTTTAGCTCCAGTGTGGTAAATTGATTTAATAAAAATGCCTCTGTTTTTTCATGTCATTTGATAACTTCTTAATGACAACTAACAGCTTTTGTGAGAGTAGGACCATTAGCACTGATGGATAGGGAGGATAACTTAGATGACAAGGGAAAGGTTAAGGATGACCAGTGTCACTTTGGGAAACATGCCTTCAGCAGAACAGAATACATTTCATGCTGGTTTGAATTCTAGGTCATAATGGATTATTTTTGTACTTTTGTGTATCATCTAATGAACAACTATCTTATAACCACAGCTTAGTTCTGTGACTACTCATAGAGAGTGTGTTGAACACTAACGTAGATACTTTAGATTGTAAGGAAATTTAGGTTATGTTAGAATGACGCAGGCCATCCCTGTTTGACCAAATTAGATTTTTACATTTTAATTAATCATTTTTTAAGGAGTAGTATTTGAAGATATCACTAAGTATTCTTATAAACGTCTATGGAGCTCTGGCGGTTAAGTGGTAGGTAATTGTGCTGCTACCTCAAAGGTAATAAGTTTTGACTCTACCAGCTGCTCTATGGGAGAAGGATGGGTAGTTTCCTCCCCTGCAGTTTATTCCCTCTGGAAATCTGCTGGAGGGGCAGCTATGAGTTGGCTCCAAATGGATGGTATACAACAACATAAATAATAAGATTTTCATGTGTACACTGATAATAGTGCTCTGCTGAGTATTGTGTGCCGTTGAGTTAGAGCAGACTCTTAATGAACCCATCAGTGGGTTTTCAAAGGCAGTAAATCACACAGGAGAAATTGGCCATCCTTTTTCCAGCAGCTGGTGGACTTGAACCATATACCTTTGCGATTTCAGCACAACCTCTTCGCACTGTTGTGTTGTTGAGAGTTGACACATAGCTGGCCTTCCAGAGGGTCTTCAGAGGCAGTTAATTGACCTGAAGGAAATTGCCCATCCTTCTCCTGTGGTGTAGCTGGTGGATTCAAACCACATGCCTTTGGGATAGCAGTGTAGTTTCTTACCACTGGGTCAGCATAGCTAGGCCACAAGTTACTAGGAGGTAAATATGTTGTATGAATACTATTGCATAGCATTATAGACTCATTTGTCATGTGTAAAGTTAAATATCAAAGATCAGGTTGTTATATGAAAAATATAATTTATTCCAAAGGCCAAGATATTAAGCCAAAATATAGGATTGATATATTGGTCTGGTGGCCTAGTGGCAAGAAGCTGCACTGCAATCCTGAAGGCATGTGGTTCAAGGCCACAAGCTCCTCTGTGGGAGAAAGATGGGTAATCACTTCCTGTATAGTTAACTGCCTCTGAAAATCCACTGGAGTGTCAGCTGTGTTTGGGTTCTGACTTATGGTACACAACAACAACATTATCTGTTTACAGGATGGAGAATGAGTGCATAGTTATATAGCAACCAAATTACATCATTACATACATTTGAAATTAATTACAGAACTGTTAAACCACTAAGATTTGATTCTGCCAAGGTGACACATAATGCTAATTATCACAACCATTGTTATTCTCACCACACATTTCAGTGTTCCTTACTTTGAAAAATAGCTAAATAGTAGGCTTTCCACTATTTTTTTAATAGTAAAGCCCAAGATAATGAGATGTATATTTCATATTGTTTGTTACTGCTTTTACACTATTGTCCATAGATTTATTTCATACCCTGAAACAAATTTTCACAGGCAACATTAATGAGTAAAACTTCCAGCTCTACTCTTTCACCTCCTATATTATACATTTTTTTAAAAATTATTGAGCTATATACTGTAAAATGTGAAGATTTACTGTTTTTAGTGTGTAGATTTTTGTAATTACATTTGCCACACACTCACTCAAGCTCAAACTCATTGTTTTGGAGTCATACCAATTCATAGACTCTTCAGGGGATTTTCGGTCTGTAAAGTTTATGGAAGAAGATTACTCATCTCTCTCCTGCAGAGCAGCTGGTGGATTTGAATTTTACACCTTGGGGTTGACAGCACAGTTCTCTAGCCACTAGGCTATGAGAATTGCCCTTGTCAAATACTAGTAGACCCCAGTGATTAATTTTTTTTCTTTTTATTTCTGAGAATGATCAAGAACTCTTCTTGTAAAATGAACCTTTGATTATGAAATATACTACTTTATCTCTTACTTCCTGTTCATGGAGCTGTTCCCTAGTTCTCTTTTATTCACTTTCCTATTCTTTGTAGTTTACTTTGGTGCTTTGCTTTTTGTGTGCTCTAGTTCTTTTGGTTTTATTCCTATTCATTGGTCTAAGAGCATGAAATAATAGGCTTAGGGGCAAATGGGAAGGATGTATAGCTAAGGACTAAAACTAAAAGACATTCCTTTGATAAAGGGATAGCTCCATTTAAGTGGGAGCATCACCATTAGCATTAATGGAATAAGTACATCAGCTGAGGCATCTCAGAGGTTAATCAAGCTTCCTGGCCCGCTCTTGACATCAATACACTGTGGCGCCTGATTCTGTTGGTCCTTCAGAGGCTTTCCTGACAACACCCTAACAGACTTTGTGTAAGTCATTGCTTGTGAATTATTGAAACAAACGCTTGGCTGCTAATTGATGAACGCTAATGTGTTTTATAATCACTGCAGTTTGAGTTTTTAGCACTAAACAAAACAGTAATAATTGATCTGTGGTTTTTTCTTGGTTTCAATCTGCTGTATGTGATCTTTTTGCTTTAATCCAGCAGCAGAGGGCTTTGCTGGTCATTTTATTTAAGTATTCATAGGATATATTACAATTTTCATTTTCTTCCTCCAGCATACATTTAAAAAACAGAATAGTAAAGAGTTGTCAATTAATTGACATTTCAGTAGATTTGTCTGGTGCTGTCTACCCAAATTACTTCATCTGGGTAAGACCTATGTTCCGTACTTATGAAGTGTGAAATCATGAATAATAACAGAAATTGATTACAAGGCAGTTTAAGAGAATGATTTAAAAAATCAGGTTTTGGAGACAAATAGTCCTAGTTTTGCATTCTGACACTGTAATTGACTAGCTGTTTGACCTGCCATTTTGTTTCCTTTGCCTCAATTTTCTTTTTGGTAGAACTGGAGAAATCCATAGAGATATGCTAAAAGCTGTGACTAGTCCCTAGTCTATACTAAAAGTTTGACTGAAACACAATTACAATAAAATAATATACATACTTTTATTAAAACTTTTTTTTAGTTCCAACCTTTAATTGTCATATTATTTAATTTTAGCACATTTGTTGTTTTAAATAAAGTTTGAGCTTAAAAAAATCCTTTGGAAGTTAAGATCTGAAATACCATGTATGTAATAATTTATATTTTAAAAAAGTTTTGCTGTCATGTATGCTACATTTAAATTTTATGTGAAGTTATTTCTTTCCACTATTATTTCAAATATTCATTCTATTTTTCCTGCTTTTATGGACTTAATATCCTCTATTTACATACTTTTAGTTGAAGATAATTAACCTTGGTATATTTTAATGTTATTTTGTGTATATCAAATATATTTTTTATTGATCTGGACACATAACACATCTATAAATTATGAAGTAGATCATTGCTTAGTTGCTGGACCGCTGTCTTCTCATGCATGTTCTCATTAGCTTACTGGGTGTTTTTACTTTTTGTTATTGTTGTTAGTTATAGAGAAAAACTGATGAAATTTGAGTTGGCTGCAGGTATAAACAAGAACTTTCCAGAACACAGTAAATGAAATAGGAGGGATAAAATAAAGATGTCCTTACTTCTTTATCGAAATTCTTACTTAGATTTGTAACTAGTTCTGTGACAGCGTCATGCAAGCATTTTTTAAAGTGCTATGTTTTTTTAAGTGCTATAATTTTTTGAAGACTATCTGACCTGGGAAATGGCCTCTAATAAGGTATTAATTATTATAAACATCAATATTTAAGATCAGTTTGAGCTATTTTAGTGAATTTTCTTGTACAATCTGACAGTTGGATAGTAAATTCCATTTCTGAATACATGCATAATGTATTTTTTAGTTTATCTGCCTAATCTAGGCTGCATACTTATTTCTAATGATGAAACTTTTTTTATACTATGTAGTTCATACATGTTGTCTTTTATCGCTTTCTTTTCTTTTAGACAAAAAATGATTACTATAAAAGTTGTCTTTTTTTGTTAAGTAACATGAAGATACACAGATAATTAAATTTGCATTAAAGTATACTCATGGCTGATCTATTTGCTTTAAATGACATATACTAAAACTAATGCAATAACTCATTAATGTAAATTAAAATTGCTACATTGGAAGTATTGTTTTTAATTTCCTGTTAGAAGATAGAAAAGAAAACCTCAGTAAGTTTTATATGCTATTTACCTGGCACTTGGTATCTTGAAAGAGATGATTTTGTATATTAAGCACATAATAAATCTTGAAATTCAGTATTATATAGTATCATATATATACTTTGCAACTTAGAGACAGACACTACCAATGTTTCATGCTAGAAAACTCATATAAAATGAGTTTTGAAATATTTTTTAAAAGAAGAGTATACTCTGGCTGTGTCACATTTTAAGATACATAATTAAGGGAAGGGTAAAAGGAATAATTTTTTATTTTTTTATTTTATACCGTCATGTAAAACAGAACTCTTTATATTTACCTTTGGCTTTATTCTGGAACAAATAACTGATTTCCTAAGTAAAATTCAAAATTGTAATAAATGTCAGACTGAATTTCTGTGGTGGTGCTTTTAGATCAGAACCACTACTACATGATAAAAACCATTATAAATTTCTTAATATAATGAACATTAGTTATAATTGAATGTATTTTTATTTAGAAGTCAAATACTGACGTGAAGTCATGTATTTTTGCCTTTTGTTTCAGACTCTGAAAACAGGCCTGACAATGGTTGGGAAAGTGGTAACCCAGCTGACAGGCACGCTACCTTCAGGTGTGACAGAAGATGATGTTGCCATCCATAGTAATTCACGGCGCAGTCCATTGGTCCCAGGCATAATCACAGTTATTGACACCGAAACAGTTGGAGAGGGCCAGGTAAGAGCTGTGTGTCTCAAGCAGACATTTGAGACCAAGATCAGCCAGTATCTACTTGCTCTGGGAGATCATTAATTTGAAATTCTAGAAATCAAGATTATTTCAGGTTAGAATTTTTTTCCAGCAAATACTAAAAGTGTTAAAATTGGTATTTCAAACAGGATAGCTCTAATCGCAAGATAGAACATAAAGTTGAGGTTCTTAGGAATTCTCTTTTTATCTTGTTTCATATATTTACTTATAAGCAAGTAATTATTTATACTGTTTGCCTCATAATATTTTTTTGTGTGTGTTTAACTCATGAACATTTTTGCTCTACCTGGGCCCCCAGAGGGTTTTCAGAAGCTATAAATTGGACAGGAGGATAGTGCCCATCTTTCTCCCCCAGAGCTATTGGTGGATCCAGACCATCAGAAAGCCACAAGATTTGGGTTAGCAGTATAATTCTGTAGTGACTATACTCCCATTTACTGCAATTAAAAGAGAGAACTTTTAAGGGAACTCTGGTATAGCATAGTCCTTAGCAAATTACGTTGCAACTCAAAAGAATAACTTTGAAATTCTGGGTAACTGGATTTGACTGTCATATTTTATTTGAAATATGAATACCAGTAATTTTGCCCTTTTCTCACCAATACTTTGTGGTTAACCAACTATGTTACAAGTTTGCATTTGTGATTAAAACTCTCTTTAGTGAAATGCTAACATAATTTTTAGTTTACTTGTAATGACTTCCCCTCCCCCCAGTTCTCTTAATTAGATGAAGTAGATAGACACATATATAAGTTCTCTTTTAAATAGAATTAAATATATAAACTCTTAATAGTTCATTGGTGTTAAAGTAAAAAAAAGTTTCTTTTGACCTTTGATTCTTAATTAATTCATCTACAAGGCCACACACAGTTACTACGAATGGTAACCCTTATCAAATTGTCTAGTTTGATGGTTATAAGTAAATCTATTAAAGACCTAACATTTGTTAACAGAGATTTGTGATTATATGAAGGTAGAAAATGTTATTTATTAATATCTTTCATGAAACTGAGAGGTAAAACTCATTTCATTTTCTGTAGTTTCAGCTGTTTCAATGCAGTATCCATTATTTATCCCATCTTTCTCAGTCTCCTACCAACCCCTATGTCAGTTCTGTTTTACAACAGTGGCACTAGGCAGTGTTTGTCCCTGTGTGACTGAGATATTTCACTCAGCATAATGTCCTCCAGGGTTACCCATTTTGAATAATATTGCATGAGTTTCTTGTTTTTCAATGCAGCGTAGTATTCCATGGTGTGAATATACCACAACTTCTCTATCCATTCATTTGTTGATGAATGAGCACTTAGGTTGTTTCCAACTCCTTGCTCTTGTGAACAAAGCTGCAATAAACATGGGTGTACCTATATCTGCTTGCATGGCAATTATGGTCTCTTTGGGGTATATCCCCAGTAGTGGAATTGCTGGGTAAATTGGTATCTCTATTTGCAATTTTTTGAGAAAGCACCATACCACCTTCCACAGTGTTTGCACCATTTTACACTTCCACCAGCAGTGAATAAGGGTTCCAATTTCTCCACAACCTTGCCAGCACTTGTTGCTTGCTGTTGTTCTGTTAAATTTTGCTAATTCTTAGTGGGGTGAGATGTTATCTCATAGTTGTTTTGACTTGCGTCTCTCTTAGAGCTAAGGATTTTGAACATTTCTTCATGTCCTTGTTGGCTGTCTTCATTAACTCTTGATGACTAGAAGTAAGCTTAGGAATATATGAATAGATTGTTGAGTTGTAGATAATTTTCTAATTTGTGTGCTAGGAGCACTTGAAATGTGTTTATTAAAAATTAGAAAAGTTAGCTTTTAAAAATTAAAGTTCATGTTGTTAAATAGGAAAACTTATTTTCTGTTTTGGTTGGGAATTACTTGTTTTTATTTGTAATTTATAATATATTCTAAATTTCAAACTAAGTTTTATGAAATAGGAAATAAATTGATTTCCAATAAAGAATGAGTATATTTTAAAAGAATTGTTCAATATATTTTAAAATAATTGTATTTTTAGAGCACTAAGATTTCCTCAGAGTATAATACTTACCATCTTTCTTTTGTTACTGTGAATCTCTTTTTTGTCATGAAGACATTTTTGCTTCTGAGTAATAGTTCAGTTGGAATATGAGGTTGTTTTTAGGACTGTAATGGTTAATGTCATGGATTTATCACTTTTAACTCTCTAGTGATGTTTGACCTTAGGTGTAATGGTTTTTTTCTTCTTCTTATGTATCTCAGATCATAAAGCTGATGTTACATTGACTATTCCTGTTTAAATCCATTGAGCCTTTAATAATAAAGACATTTTCATGTTTATAGTGGTGGTGTCTAAAATTTGACTCTTTGTCTTTCTGATGTGAAATTGTGATGACAGGATCATTGTTTAGTAACTGCTTTAAGGCAGAATGGATTTGATTGGCTTTGTGTCCATTTTTATCTGTGTTACTTTCATGTTTTATTTAAAAGCGTTTCTTGACTAGTCGTATGTGAACAGTTTAATTTGCCTTTACAGGTTTATATAGTTGAACTGTTAATGGATAGTAGTGACTACTAGTTAGCAAGGTGGATCAATCTCTAAAGAAAAAGACTTTAGAATGCTGATTGAAATAACCAAGATATTTCTTTCCCTGAGCAAATATTTTTCATAATAATTTAATGATTATATTTTCGTATTCTGATAATATAGTTTATCTGTCTTGTATCAGTTAAACTGTTATGAGTGATCTAGTTCAGTATAGTCAAATTGTTGATATATGTTTAAGAATTTAGTTTGCCTTATTAAGTGATGAATACAGGTTATATTTAATGGAAATTGTAGGTGTTTATAGCATTAATAGGCTTGATGTTTTAGATAGAGTGATAATGCAGTTATCTTTCTAAAGAATCAGATCTGAGAGGAGAAAGTAAGTAAAAGGAATTTTTGTAAGATCAAGTATAGAACAAAGGACAAAAGACAGGAATAAATATTTTTTAGTACCAACCACAACAAAAAGATGTACAAGGTGAGCTCTGGTGGCCTAGTGGCAAGAGGCTATACTATAATCCAGAGGTGCATGGTTCAAATCCACCAGATCCTCTGCTGGAGAAGGAGGGACAGTCTCCTCCTATACAAGTGAGATCCAATTTGACAGTAGACACACACACACACACAAACACGAAAATTTAAAAAATAAATAAAAAGATGTACAAAATAGTCCTTCTCTGTGATTCTACTCATTGCAAAAGAAATATATATTAAAACTTTATTGAAACTCATTATTGTCAAGCCTGAACTTATTCACAGTAACTAAGAGATGGAAAATGCCCAGCTGCCTGTCAGCAATTGAATTGATAGAGAAACTATGGTGCATTCAAATAATGGAATACTACACAGCATTGGAAAACAGTGAACTTGTAAGACATTACAAATGTGGATAAATCTGGATAAATATATACTGAGTAAATATTTTAGCCACAAAGTGATAAATACTGAATAATCCCACTATTGTACTAATAGGATTAAGACAGTAGAAAGGGGGATAGCAGGAAAAGAATGAATAGATTATGAACACTGCACTGGAATGGGTGAAATGTAGGGCAGTCTGAAAGGAATGGATGATTAGAAACAGTACAGCACAAGCATTATGAAGGGCATTGGAGGAGGAGGCAGGAGGAAATAATGTATGCATGAATGAATGAAAGCCAGTCTCTTTAAAATTCTTCACAAGAATTAAAAATAAAATTAAAAAAACACAATGAGCCAGAAATCCTTGTCACTGGGCCAATAGGCAATATTATGATGTTGCTGTTGTTAGGGTCTGTTGAGTATGACTTACAGTGACCCTGTGAATAAAAGATCTGAACCCTGTTTTATTCTGTGCCATCATCATACTTTCTAACACAGAAGAGCCCATTGCAGCAATCACTGTGCCAATCCACTTGCTGGAAGGTGTTCCTCTTCATCACCTGTCCTCCACTCTTCCTAGCATCATCCCCCTCTGCAAGGAATAGCCCCTCCTAACAACATGTCCAGATTATGTGAGGCGAAGCCTCATTGTCCTTGCTGCTAAAGAGCACTCTGGCTGCATTCTCTCCAGTACAAATCTGTTTGTTCTCTTGGTCATCCATGAGAAGTTCAGTGCTCTTCTCCAACACCACAGCTCAAAGACATCTATTCTTTTGTCAGCCTTATTCATTGTGATTCTGTCATCCTTATTCATAGTGATTTCCTTAATAATAAATTTGTGTGCTGGAAGCCTCCTGTTTAAGCAATTAGGGCCTGGTGGGTGGGCCTTTGTATTTAAAAGTTGCTTGGCTCCAAGGGTATGCTGCCTTCCGGCTTGGTTTAACTTGTGTCTGGGGAGAAGAACATAGTTCTAAGTGTTACCGCACTTGTCTGTCAGTTTGCTGTACTGAGATAATTTGGGGTTGCTGTGATCCAGAGAGCAGTGGTACTGGTGTGTCAGATGCCAGAAAAGTAATATGTGGTGGAAAGGTTTTGGTGGAGCTCCCTGATTAAGACAGACTAGGAAGGGCCATCCACTTCTTAAATAACAGGCCTTTGAAAACCCCATGAATATCATCATAGATGGAGGAAAAAAATGGAAATTTTCAATGATTTCATTTTACTTGGTTCCACAACCTTGGTACTGGCAGTAAGGAAATAAAAAACATGTTACATTGGAAAAGTCTGCAGTCAGAGACCTCTCCAAAGTGTTTACGAGCAAGTATGTGAGTTTAAAGGCTATGGTTACACCCAGTCATCCAAGCCATAGTTTTTTCAATTACTTGGTATATATCTGAGAGTTGGAAAGTGAATAAACGTGAGTGGAGCAGAATCCTTGCCTTTGAGTTGTGATACTGGAGAAGCATACAAGTATCCAATGATCTGCCAAGAGAACAAACAAATACATCTTGGAGAGGGTGTAGCATGGTGCTCCTTAGAGGGAAAGATGGTCAGACTTCATTTTACATATACTTTGGGCCTGTTGTTAGGACAGAGCAGTCCTTGGAAAAGTACATCATGCTCAGGAAAGTGGAGGATCAGTGAAGGAGGAAAAGACCTTCAACAAGATGACTTGACACAGTGACTATTAACAGTGAGCTAAAGTGTGGTGGAGATGATATAGATGGCATAGAATCAGGCAGAGTTCCAGTATAGAGTCACTTTCAGTCACAATTGCCTCAGTGACGCCTAACAGCTACAACAGTGGAACTTAAATAAACTGAAGAAGTTATGCACATGATTGGTTAACTCAGGAAAAGATACAGAACTCTGTTTGTCATTTTTGTTGTTACTGTCTCATTGGAATCAACTCATTGCTGACCCCAGTAGTTTTCAGAGGTTGTAAATCACACAGGAGGAGATTGTCCATCCTTCTTCATGGAGAAGCGGTGGATTTGAACTACTTGTCTTTGGTATGGCAACATAGCTCCTCACCACGAGACCACCAGAGCATGCAGAGAAATACAAATCAAAGCCCTGAGTGGATAATCATTTCATACTCTAGGATGGCTATGATAAAAAAGTTGAACAGAAGCAAATTTTGTCAAAGATACACAGAAGTTGGAGTCCATATTATAGGTTGCATGTAATGTAAAGTGTCATAGTTTCTTTGGACAATAATCTAGCAGTTCTCCAAATTATTAAGAATGGAGAAATTGACTATATAGATCTACTGCCTAAGATAAGTGAAGACATATATCTGTGCAATTATTAGTAATAACCCAAAGTGCAAACAACCCAGAAAGTCTTCCAGTTATGGTAAACAAAATGTGGTAGATTCATGTAAGAGAATATCATTTTGCCATTTAAAAAATGACATTTACTGATTCATTTTACTGCCTGATAGAACTTAAAAACATAAAAAAAAAGTTAATCACTCACAATGGATCACACATACTATATGGTTGAAAAAAGACCCTCTATATTTGGACATGTTGTAAGGAGAGACAGGTCCTTGGAGAAGGGACATCATGCTTGGGAGGGTAGAGGGACAGCGCTGTAGGGGAAGACCCTCTATGAGGTGGATTGATTCAGTGACTGGGGTAATCGGGATGGGTGTGTTAGAGGCAATGCAACTGGCACAAGATAGAGCAGGGTTTATGGCTGTTGTATATAGGGTCCCTATGAGTCGCAAACGACTCGACGGCACATAACAACATCAACAACAACAACATATTGTCATTAAGTAGATTAGTTGTTGCCTACAGTAAGAGGCTTCAGAGAGTAGTAGAAAGTGACTTCTAATGCACGTAGGGTTTGGTTTTTTTTTTAATAAAAGGAATAAAAATTCTTTTGTGGTTTTGGTACCACACTTTGTGGATATACCAGTTGGCTTAGTTATGAAGTGCTGCTGTAACAGAAATGCCACAAGTTCATGGCTTTGACAAATGGAAAATTGCTCTTACCATTTAGGAAGCGGAAAATCCAGGTTAGGGCTTTGACTTCTGTGAGATGTTGTTTCTTTCTCTGTCAGAATTAGGAAAATTCCTTATTCCTTATACTAAAATCTTTGTTCTAGCCCATAAAGATGTCATTGACCGCAATCTTCCCAGTGCATTGCGTCTTTTGATTTCTTAACTGCTAAAGTCTGTATGTTGTGCACCTAATTTGGAAAGCTGGGTGATAGGAAGAGGAGCATGTCATTAAGGTTTGAGGAATATTCAGCAACCTGTGTTGTGCAGATGACACAATCTTGTTTGCAGAAAGTGAACACTTGAAGGATTTGCTGCAGAAAATCAAGCCAATAGCCTTCAGTATGGATTATGTTTCTACACCAAGAAAACAAAAATCTTTGCCACTGGACTGGTAGTCAGAATTATGATTGAGAGAGAAAAGATTAAAGTTGTCAATTACCCCAGTTTACTTGGATCTACAATTAACACCTATTTTAGCAGCAGTCAAGAAATCAAATACTGTGTTGCATTTGGAAAATCTGTTGTCAAGGACCTCTACAAAGAACAAGAGGATCAGTTTAAAGACTTAAATTTACCTAATCTAAGCCATGGTATTTTCATATGCTTAACATGTGTCTGAAAGTTGTTCAGTGAATAAACATGACAGAAGAATTGGTGCCTTTGAATTGTGGTTTTGGACAAGATTATTGTTCAGTATACCATGAACTGCCAAAAAAATGTAAATCTCTCCTGTAGGATATTCATTAGAAGCAAAGATGGTGAAACTATGTTTCATATGTTATGTCCACAATCTCTTGAATCCCCCCTTTTTTGAAATGGGAATAAATATGGATCTCTTCTAGTCAGTTGGCCAGTTAGTTGCCCTCCAGATTTTTTGACACAGCCTGGTGAATGCATCCAAGGCTGCATTTGTTTTTGAACAACCGTAAAACCCCAATGGAGGTAGTTCTACTCTGTCATGTAGGTTCACTGTGCGTTAGAATCGGCTGCGTGGCAAAGTTCTGGAAGTCACTTCATAGATGGTCTTTTTTGTATTCTTTTAGATTGGTAATATTTTTAATTATTTGAATTCTTCCCTTCTGTAAATTTACAAGTTAAATAATCTTTGTTGTTCAATTAGTGACTCCTCTAGAGCTGTAGTGTTCAGTAAAGTCGCCAGTAGGAACATGTCATTATGAATTAATTAAAATTAAAGTATAATAAAATTAAAAATACAGTTCCCCTGGTTACCACATGTCCCTAGTTCCTGTTGTATTATATAGCATGTTTGTAGAGCATTTTCATGATCACAGCAATTTGTATTGGACAATGCAGCCCTAGGAAGTATAACTTCATCCTTGAGCTCTCAAAAGTTATGCATTCCTTATACTCCCTGCATATTACTGTTGTAATTAACACTTTTTCAAAGATGATGCAAGAGCTAAAATATTATTTTTCTTCTCTTAATTATTATTATAGTCTATTGTATGTTACTTTCACTACTTTTTTTGCACTGCTTTATTAAATATTACCAATACCTGTTTAGCTTTTTTCATACTTATTCTTGTTTTTTATTAATTAAACTCATACTTGGGATTATTTTTCTTCTTCTAAGAAAACTGTTTTCCCCTTGTAGATATTTTGTTGTTGTTGATTGCCATCAAGTTGAGTGCGACTTATAGCGATCCTATGAACAAAAGACTTGAAGCCTTTTAATAACTACCTTTGTTTCTCAAAATTTATAGCTTCCAGAGGCATGTTGTTTAGGAAGTGGATGCTACTCCTGCTTCCAAACCTGTCTTAAACTGGGAGCTCTACCAAACACTGTCCACCATGGTTAACCATTGTGCCATTTGACTCCCCAATAGTTCAGTTTCACAACAGTCTCAACTTTCTGATGCAAAGCAAGTATTCGCAAAGACCATGACCTGGATCAGTCACATCTTAGTCTCTAGACTGACATTGTTGCTCTTCAGTTCTTTGGAGATGCCCTCGTTTTTTTTTTTTTTTTGTTTTGTTTTTATTTCTTGGATGATGGTACCAAGATTGTAGATTGCGGAGCCAAGCAAACTGAAGCTGTTAATAATCTCAGTCTCTTCACCATCTATCATGATGGTGCAACTTGACCCAGTGGTGAGAATCTTAAGCAAATAGAAGTTACTTGTCAACATTAATTAGGTTGGAAATGAAAATTAAACCATAAGAATATACTGGTATAATTTTTAAAACTTATAGTATAAAATGTTGGAACAGATGTAGAGAAGGTGAAAGTTTCATGTTAATGGGAAGAATATAAAATTACCAAGATATTGTGACAATTTGCTAGTTTGTCAAAATGTTAAATGTACACTTAGCAGTTTACCGAACACCTTTATTTCTAAATGTCTCCTAAACAAAAAATATTTGTCAGCATACACATGTATATGTTAATCTCATTTTTTTGACTAATAATTAGAAAATAACTCCAGATGCCCAGCAATTGGTATATCAATCAACAAAACCATTCCTCCTTATAATTGAATACGTCTCAACAGTTAAAGGAGTGAATGATTTTTAAAACCATATCCTTTACACTTTTTAATATATAGCTTTAATTTATTTTTTAGAGTGTATGTTTAATAATTTATTGTGTGCTGTTGTTAGGTGCTGTCAAGTCATAGACGACTCATAGTGACCCTAAGAACGAAAGGCCTGAGCATTGTTCATAGAGTTTCCAGAGGCAAGCCATTTTGGAAGTGGATACCACTCATGCTTCTGGGCTTGTTTTATCGGGAAGCTCCAGCAAACACTGTCCACCATGGGTAACCAGTATCACATTTGGCACATCAGTGTCACAGTGTTCAGCATCACAGTAACCACGAGTTACCTCTGTACAGCAATGCACAGACCAGTGCTATACCACCTAGAAGAAGGTTTATAATTTATTGTAGCTGTTATTAGTAACCACATTACTTTTCTCTGTTTTGGTGTTACTTTAATGTCAAACTGAACAGTTACCCCAACCCCCTGCCCCAATACAACAGTAAGAACTTAACAGCAGTTAGTTCCTGCCCTTTGATAAAGTCTTATGATGTATTTTATAAAGAATGTAAATAGCAGTTTTATAATGTTTGCTTTCCCAAAATTTCATCTGTACTCTTGTCAAGCTGTTGGTTTGTGATCATACTCTGTTAGCATATGTTAATATCTTTTCCTTATTCTTGACATTATTTTCTCACTGTCTACCAAGAACAGTTTTCCAGTAGAATGCAAACCTGTTAATTGGGTCAGCCTTCAGATTTAGTTGTGAGCTAGAAAATATTTATTTCCATTTGTCTTCATTTCTTTTGTTAAGGTTCTTGTGAGTGAGGATTCTGACAGTGATGGTATTGTGGCTCACTTCCCTGCTCATGAGAAGCCAGTCTGCTGTATGGCTTTTAATACAAGTGGTAAGTCTTTTTGTTGACACTTATATCATGGATTTTCAATAATTAATTACTGTATTTTCCTCCTCAGAATATCAATAACATTTTATATTGTCTTTTAATATCCAGTACATACTTAAAAATTTCTCAGTTGTCATAAAAAAGATGTTTTACAACTGTTTAAAGCCACGTTCTCATTAAGTCCTATACGCCTTAATTTGGAAGCAGGCGTGGCATCCACTTCCTAACCAAGATGCCTCCAGAAACTCTGTGAACTTTGATAAATGTAGATAGTTGTTGAGGGTCTTCAGGCCTTTTGTTCATAGGGTCTCTATGAGCCGTGCTCGACTCAAAGGCAATCAATACCACCACCACCTTAATTACATTTTATTATGTGTTTTTGGATTAATATATATCTTCCACTGTTAAAAACTTTGAAGTACACAGATCAGTTGTTTCATCCAGTTCATGATTTTTCCAGGGTTTTTTTCTCTCCCCTCATTATACTACTACATTTTTTTTTTACACTTCTCTGTTTTCTGAACGCCCTTTAACTTGAAGGTAGATCCAGAAAAGCTTGAATAGATCAGTTAAGATTTTTTTATAAAATTGGTTTTAAGAGTTAAAGATTTAAAAAAATGTAAAAACTTCTCAGTATTATATAAGATTATCTCCCTATTTGTGACCTATGTATCGTTTATCATTTGATAAATGTATGTTGTTGTAGTTATGTGCTCTTGAGTCAACTACAATTCCTAATGATCCTGTAAACAACAGATCAGAACCTTGCCCTGTTCTGCATTATGCTCACCATTTCTACCATGTTCAAGTTCATTTTCACAGGATACTGTGGTGCCCATCAAATACCTTTAAGTTAAAAGTAGTTTTTTCTTATCAATCAGTGAGTAGTCTCTGGTATTATTTTTACTTCAGTTTGGAAACATTTTACTTAATAGTTTTGCTACATTGAAAGTTATCAGGTAACTGTTTATTTTGTATGTAAGAACTGCTATGCTTTTATATACACTTTGTGAAAATGTTTTCTCTCATCAGCTAGTAGCCATGGTTCTGTATAGTCAGGATAAATAAATGCTTAATTATTTTTCTTTTAATTGTAAATATTTGTAGTAAAGAGTTAATACACTATTTCTAATAGTATAAAATGAGTTCTTTTAAAAATACTTAGCTTTAAATAAAAAAAATCACTCAAAGCTTATAGAGTCTTTATGGATTTATAATCTTTTAAGATGTAATCTGTTTTGTTGCTCTATTTGAGGAGCTTGCTATTTTTATCTTACTCTATCAGTTAAAATTGATGGGAAAGACCCATCTTATTTCTCTTCTTTTCGTCTTTCCATATAAAAGAATGATGGTAAGAGGATGATATAGAGCACTTGAATAATCTTCTTTTTAATATATTAATTAGTCATTTTTTATAAAGAGAGAAAGATTTTTGTAGTGATTGGTATAGTGAGTGGATTGATTGTATTAATGAAGACAAAGATTTATTGAAATGCTCTGGAGATAGTGGGAATTAAGTTAAATTTGAAGAAACAGTCTGGAAGTTATGTCATTTAGAGCACTCTGCTTTGAGTAACCAGTATGACTCATGTTGATATTCCATCTGTTATGCCAACCCTTTTTTGTAGAAGTGTATATTTCATATTATCCTGGTTTAAGTGCTTCTGACATTGGAAGCTGTACTTTCTCTATGACTTGCCATTACAATGAGAATATATTACATAACTTAAAGGATATTATGTTCATCCCTGTAAACATTTTTCATAAAAAAAAGCTTGATAGTTTTGATATACATTTGTCATTTGGTTTCTACTTGACCTACCAACTTTGTATTTTTATCATAAGATTAGAAATAACAATATTTCAGAACAAGTCTGAACATTCTATCTTACTGATAACCTGTTTCTTTTCTTAGAATGTACTATTTGTTTAATAACTACTTTATATTGTGTTTCCCCATAAATAAATATAACCCTACAGAAAAAAAAAGAAAAAAAAGAAATAGCAATATTCATACCTATTTTCTATTTTCTCAGAGCAGTTGAATTATAATTCTGTGATATATTTTCTCTTTGTGTAAATACCTGTTTCTGCAGCTAACCTCTGAATTCCTTCCGGCTAGGAATTAGATGCCATTCATCTTCCGATCTATAGTGTCCAGCATAAGTGTCTTAAACATAGCATCAGAAAATTCTGTAAATTTATAAAACTCCTTGGAGAGGGACATCATTCATGCTGGGAAGGGTCCAAGAGAAAAAGACGCTGGATGAGATGGATTGACTCAGTGACTGAGAGAATGGGGATAGGTGTGTCAGAGACAAATGAGGTAGGCTCAAGATAGAGCAGAATTCAAAGCTGTTATACTTAGGGTTGGTATGAGTCGTAAGTGAGTTGATAGCACATAACAACAACAACCAACAACATATTATACTAGGGAGCTCTGGTGGCCTAGTGGCAAGAAGCTGTGCTGTAATTGCAAAGGCACTTAGTTTGAGGCCACCAGGTGCTACGTTGAAGAAGGATGGGCACTTTCCTCTCATGGGATTAACTGTCTCTAAAAACCTACTGTAGGGTCAGCTATGGGTCAGCTCCGACTCCATGGTACACAGCAGCAACTATTGGTTAAACTATGTTTCATTTAATGTTTTTCCAGTGTCAGCTGAAACTTTTCATTTTGAGATATTTCTTAGGTTATAGCATTTCCTTTTCAATTTTGTATAGGTGTTTATTCATATATCAACCTATGAATATTTTTCATACTATTGATAAGCATATTGATGTCATAGATACTGTTACTTCATGAAGATGTGAAAGTCCTCATTTTTATATTAGGTAATAAATGCTGACAGTCAAGCTGAATATTAGGATATTCAATGAGATTAGACTATCCAGCAAGAAAATGAATATATTTTCTCTATTAATAAATATTTTCTGTAGACCTTTTCCACTATATAAGTATATATATGATATCAGAAAGAATAAAAATATGCAATTTTTAATTGTAATTAATGATAGTGAGCTCTTCTGGTCTTAATTCAAACTTAAACTGAAATGTTTAGATTTTTTTTTTAGAAATTAATTTTTTGAATATTTTTCTGAGTTTTAAGGTTTCTAAGATTTCTTTTTGTAGTTAAAATTAAAGGTGTTGACTGGGTCCAAAATAAAGCATTCAAAAAGCATTTAATTTGGAATGGAAAAAATGATTTATATTAATTAATCTCTAATGGAAATTTTCTTCATTTATGAATATAAAAACAAACTGCTGTAATTGCACCTTAAAATTAATGTGGCTTTCATATAATCTCACTGTATCATTTTCTGCTTGTGGCTTGTGTGTCAAAATTATGATAGGAACTATCTTTTAATATACTAATAAAGATACAGATGTAGCTACTATGTGATTATTACCTCAGTTTCGGATTTTATCTTCTCAACTATATCATTCTGAAAAGATGTCCCCAAAATATTATAACAATCTTTTTCGAAAGTTTAAAGCTCATGATTTTGCATGTTTCAAATGAACATTTAGGAAATCATCCTTTAATTATTTAACTATTAATTGCATTCAGAGTGCCTGGTATTCTTAGTAAGAGACAATCTGCTGGTGGATGTGGGTGACAAGTAGAGAAAACAAGGGAGTAAGTGCTTGTAGGGAGAAAGGAGGACAACATGGATAATTAATCTGGCATTGGGAACATTCTTTAAACAGGAAAAGGTCTTAACCTGAGACCAAACAGTTGATAAGTCAAGAAATAAGCATACAGTCCCTGGAGCGTGTACAGATTAGTGAGTGAGGCAAGAAAAACACAGGATACTGACATAGACTGTGAAGCAGAATATATAACTAATCAGTTTGTTATGTGGTAGCTGTAGTTTTCAGTGTGACGTCATTATTTCATTTTTTGTAAAGGCATTGTGATTATTTATTTTCATTAAAATGAGATTTATATCTGTTACCAATCACACAGTTATTATATACTGTCGAGTTGGAACCATTTGCAGCTGACTCTCCAGTAGGTTTTCTGAGACTGTAAATTGCCGACGAGGAGATTGCCTATCTTTCTTCATGAAACATCTGGTGGATTTAAACTGCCTTTAGGTTGGCAGCACAATTCCTTCCTACTAGGCCATCAGAGAGTTTTACTCACATGGTGTTAATGTTGGGTGTAGTTGAGTTTAGTATGATCCATAGCAATCTTAAGAACAACAGATCTGCACCCTGTCTTATTCTAGTCCTGTCCTATACCATCCTCACAGTCTCTGACACACTCAGGCCCGTTGTTGCAGGCACTGTGTCAAATCACCAGGTTGAGGGTTTTGCACTGACCTTCCACATTTCCAAGCATGATACCCTGCCCCTAGCAACATGATCAAAGTATGTGAGGCGATTAGTAAAGGTGACAGTAGGTGTGATTCCTTTGAACTCTAGTCTTAGTTGTACACTGTTGTGTAGAAACAGTGTTTTTATTGTTCAGAATATTGACTTATTGTTTGATTTTAGACAAGTGAATAGAAAAAAATTAATCCATAATGATGTGCAATATTTTTTTAATTTTGGGTACAGTTCCATTTTTCATCCAGCAGTTCATACATATTTTTTTAAGATAGCTTCTTCTTCCTTATTTATTCTGATCTTTTTTTTCCATTTTCTACTAGTTTACTTACGAAATTAGGATATATTGTTTTCAAGAACAAATTCTTTCAATTTCCCTCACTCCCGTCCATCAACTTGTACAACCTCATGTTTAAGGCCCCCACTCCTCACCCCACACATCCTCATCCCTCTTCTTCTAACCTTTCCCACCCCTCTTGGATCCTTATACTCATTCTACCATAATGATTTTATACAATATTTATCCTTGTTGGACTGAGTTAGTTCACTTAGCATAATGCTCTCCAGTCCCTCCCAAGATAGATAATAATTTACAGAATTGTTACTCCTGTGTGCTGCATTGTTGGCAAAGACCTATTGGTGATATTTTATCTTCTAAAAAACCAAGCAG